CAGGAGGATCCGTAAGGGGCCAGTGCACAGTGGATTGGGCAGCAGTCAAAGGCAGGGGCCCCGACGACCCGATCTCTGGACACGGAGACTAGCCCTGGGGACATGGAATGTCACCTTGCTAGTGGGGAAGGAGCCCGAGCTTGTGCAGGAGGTTGAGAGGTACCGGCTAGATATAGTCGGGCTCAGCTCCACGCACAGCTTGGGATCTGGAACTTTACTCCTCGAGAGAGGCAGCTGATTGCTCAGTTGTATTAATTAAACCTATGATGTCATCATCAGCCTAACCTGAGCAGTGAGGCTCTGCAGGCACATTGTCAGGTGTCCTGGGCAGGCCCAGGCCTGGTCACATGACCACAAGCCTACCTAATCAAAAACAAGATATCTCTGTTATACTATGGCCAAGTAAAAGGCTGAATATCAATATAGGTAGTTGACCTTTGGCAAGTTTGTTTGCACTGTGTGCTTCCTGCTAAGTTTCTGAAAAAGTGGAGGAGTTTGCCATTATTCACATTTTGCAGTGAACTTTAAAAACCAAAGCAATACAAAACAAAATGTGGCAGGTAGCCTACTGGGTTAGATAAATACTGTAGATGTCAAAGCAAATTTCCATGTTAAGATAAGACACCACAGTTGGAGGAAGTGAGGATTTATTTATGGTAAATTAAGGTAAAACAGCGATTTTCTACAACAAACAGGATTAAAACACGTCTGAACAACTTGTCTTTGCCTGATCTGGCAGATGCACTGGATTATGGTGAAGTCCTCTCCATATTCAACTCCAATCCACTCGGTCTGCGCCTTGGGGTGTAGCTGCCAGCGTCTCCATCCCAAACTGTCCATGGTGAGTAATAAAATTTTACTTTACGCCCGTGGGCATTCATAATGAATGTGATGCGTCACTGAAAGTGTGGTGTTGCATTATTGGTCTCTTTGTGTTAATGAACATAATGTGTTTACACAGTGATTGCTTTAACTAATGAATTTTCTGCTTGTATGAGGACGTCAGACTGTGAAACCACTTTATGTTCTTTTAGTTTGTTCAGACCGGTTGGTTTTCCCTTGGCTTTGTTGTTAAGATCTAAACATCTCAGCTGTCATTTCTGCACTCTGATGGTTTGCCTGTAGATTTTTTTTATGGCAGGATGATCATGGAAAATAGGCCCATCCATTGTTTGCAGACCTGCCCAGATTTCTTCCTATTTTTCCTTCTGCCTACACCACTGATGCGATGTTGCTCCGTTTCTGTCTCATATGAGAACAGTTGGCATAGCCTGATCAACCTGTAGTCACAGTAAAAATCTGCTGCTAGACCCTTCCCTTCTCCTGCTCCTCTGTGCTTCATGTTGCCTCAAAGTTTTTATTATATTGAGTGCACCCAGCAGACTAACAGGGGCAGTTTCATTATATTTTTCTTAGATCCCCAGAAACCGACCAGAACTCCTTTGCTGGAATATTACCTTGGCCCCTGGTTTTCTCAGTCAGTTTATTGAACTGAACAGATTTCGGAAATTGCACCATGCACACGCAATATAAGCTAAAACAATAAAGACTATAAAGAAGATTTGGACCCACGGGGCCACAGGACTAGATCAAATTGACCTTGGCTTTGGTCAGTTGGCAACCAAGCCAACACACTTACAGTGCAGTACTAAGGGGAACAAACCTGTAATTTGTTTTTAACCTGCAGATGTAATGAGAATCTGCTGCAGTAATTGTATGATTTTTGGCTGCCCAGCACTGAATGCAGTATACTCAGTAGTCCCTGGTCTACTTTGAAGCACTGGCACAATTATCCAAACAGACCCTTCAGAATAATGGTAACAAGCAGCTGTGTGAGGTCTTTGGGCCGAGCTGAAGCCTGAAAATTAAAAACACTTTCAAAACAGCACAACTTTTAATATACCCTCATTGTAAATCTGTGAGGTTTGATAATGGAAACTGTAATGGTACATCAGAATGGAAACCCTAGAGGGACAGCGGTGCCTGAAGAACATAACAAAGAACTGATTTGCCTTTTTTCTATCAGCACTCGTGTGGATATATTTCATTAGAAGAGAAATTGCTTACAATTCAAACCATTATGAGTTTCAGTCCTTCACAGAAATGACAGTGTTCACAGAGAGTTTGCCCTTGTTCCAGTCAACAAGTCCTGATATGAGTTTTCATTTGGGTCTATTAAAATCAACACTCAAATAAATGATTTGTGGTGAGATGCCATTATTATGCAGATCATGATGCAAAAAGCCATTTCTGCTGTAGATTGTTTTTACTTTCCTTTCTGGTCCTTTTTTTTAATTGTGTCTCTATTTTATGCATATTTTTGTGCGGTGTTATTTTATTAACTGATTCTTCTCAGTCCTTAGTTTGGTCTTCTTCCTTTACCAGCAAAGAGAGACAGGATAAAAATAAAATATCCAGGAGAAAAATCACATGATGTGTCAGTTTAGAACAGAGTATTTACAGCGAATGAAGAAAAATGCTTCTATATCAAGACCTGTTGGTGGCAGTGTCGACGCTTCCAAGCGTACGAGAAGCTGTAATTTGGTGAACCCTTACCACACATGTCCCATCTGATAAATGATAATGAAAACTGTGCTGCCCAAGGCCGAAAGGGGGCTTTAAGCAGAATTTGATTTGGTGCCTGAGAAACCTTTTTATTTCACAGTAGTGACTTCACAAAATCAATTTGTCACGGTAATACACAATAAAATATACATCAAGTAATACTGTGTGCTGTTTCAGGGGAATAAAAAATTCAAATGCAACTAAAGTACTGTATTGTTGATCAAATTGGAATTCTTGAATATACTTTAGCATATAGTTTAATCCACAGTACATTTCCCCTGTTATAATCACTATTGGATCACTATATTATGTCATCAGGTATGCAAAATGATGTCAAAATAGTCCCATAAATTTGCTAGTACCTTCCAGTCATCTCGAGCACTTGCACTTTACAATCATACAATATTTACTCCTTTTTTCACATTGTGTGATGGACTGAGCATCTTGACTGATGGGAGTGTTCTTCTGGTGGCCCAGTCACCTTGTGGGTCTGTGTCAAGTCTAGCAGCAGTGATAAGAACAAAGTAAAAAAAAAAAAAACTCCTGCTGTTCAGTCTGTTGGGTCAGCCTCCACCCACGTGCATGTGCAGAGGCACCTTTGTATAAATGCTTTGCATTAATGAGCTGGTCTTTCTCTCTCTGCCAGCTTCACTCTCTGCTTACATTCAGCAACATTCAACACATAAGACTGATGGGACTGTGTCTAAATTATGACAATTGCCTGTACAAATTAACATTCTATTCTGCCTTTTGGTAACTCTTTGAAATACCTGAATCACAAGCTAAGAATGTGTCAGGCACGTACAGAAAAGGACAAATATGGCAACAGAGTTTTAATAACATCCATTATTGGATAGGAGTTAAGCTGTTACAGTTATTGACTTCATGAATTTGTGTCAGTTGAATTGGTAGAATCTTTATTTTAAATGTGTTACTTTTATTGATCGTTTCCTGCTCTAATCTTTGCTCTCAACCCTCTCGATTCTGATTGTCCATTTCATTCATAGCTCCGTCCTCGTTTAAATTTTTATTGCATGAACCGACTGCCTCTCCTCCTCTCCTTCCAAATGGATACTTTGCATCATTAATGACTACCCATAACATCTGGTAAATAGCTTAAAGGTAGAATTGGCAATCCTGGAAAAACCAGCAAGAGGAAGCCCAATTTTCAAAGTAGACAACTGAAGAAACCACACCCTTTCATTCTGACTTCCACTCCTCCAAAACACAACACACACTGCAACATGCACAGCCTGACTACTACTGATTTCAGGAAAATAACATGCCCCCCAAATAAAACAAAACTGATAATTACCTGTCCAACAGAAATACAGCCACCATGGTGCCACTTTTCAGCCCCTTTTGTTCTCTGTTGTTGCCATTGTTCAAAAGTGACACCAGTGGTCAGGCTTTTTCAGCCTTGCTGTTGCCACAGATGATGGATTTAGTGCCTTTGTATTCATTGCCATTGGGATAAAAAGAGAAATTCAAGAAATGTAATAAAGTGCTTTTGGAAGAAATCTCCAACCCAACCTTTAAGGAGAAGGATGAAGAGCAGCAAGCAGTAGTACAACCCTGAACTGTCACTGTTACCCATACAAGTAGTTATACTCCATTTATTCCATTCATCCTTAGTGTATTTATATCTCCTGCTTATATCCATAGAAAAATTTTCCCCCTTGCAAAAAAATCACACTTTTCACAGGAACCCAAATCTCTAAAAATAACATTTCTAAAAAATATATATGAAAAACACCAAAGGAGTTCATCTTTGGAAAACACAGAGGCCATCCCAGGGTTTTGCTTTTGATGGTAGACAGAACTTGTATTAAAAATCTGTACAAGTTGAAGGCAACATAAAACAAACTGCCATTACCGTTTCACTGAATGGCCTGGAGCTGTTTACTGACTCTTGAGCAAAACAGAATTAATAAAGAATCTTGTACTTCTTCCAAGACTAAACCAGTAAGTAAACATAATTTGAATGCAAATTCCTTGCATGGTGACCACCTACTACTCAACCACAATTTCATGATCCACATTATGAAAAATCCTTAATTTTGCAGTTACTGGTGCTTAGATTTATTTATTTACTTTTTGCATCTCTCTGTTGGTTATATATAATGTTAAAGGCAAGGCTTTAATATAGGACAACAGGAAATCAGATGTCAGAACAGGCTGGCTCAGACTTTTGCATTTCAGCAGCAAGTACTCCACTTATTTAATTGAGCTGGCATGAAAGCAAGCCCATGCACACACACACCAGCTCTATTGTGCTTACTGTACGATAGGAATCCGTGCACACACGCAGACGCTCAGATACACACATCTTGTTAATTGTACTCTCTGTGGTGAGTGCCATTAGTGACCAAAGCAAGAGCTGATTCATAATAGCAATCTGATGCTAATATAGCAGTCAAACCAATTAACTGACTGTTTTGCATTCTTCTAATGAACATCAAAATGATATTGTCAAACTCTGTCTGGTCGAGCTGTTTATGTAACTGTTATATTAGCTGAATGAGCTATGAACAGACACCGTGCTTTGATGTTTGTTTCAGTAGAGAGTCTCTCAGGCTGAATGGTGCGAAATGCATTTATTATGAAACCAAAGTCTGCAGAGGATTGTTTGGAAGAGAGACTCAAAACAATGTTGTCCAGACCACAGCCGTGAACACAGAACATTTAACTGTGGCAGGAAATGACAACATAACACACTGGAGAGTCAGCTAGGGGATTTTGTTTCAACTAGCGAAATGTTACTAATGCAATCTTATGCAAGTGATTAAACAAGTTGAATTGATCTACACACAGAAACTGTTGCACCCAGCGAATCGTTCAGCCATAACAACAGGAACCACTCTAACAAATGATGTGCAGACATTAGAGTTAACAAAGAAATGATCTATACTCAGGCTTGACTTGCATTGAGTTGTGACAGCAATCCATCCAAAGAGAACAATTAGTAAGACATTCATATACAGTACATACTGTATATGTGTGAATTCTTCCATCCATCCATTATCTATACCGCTTATTCCTGAACAAGGTCAAGAGGGGGCTGGAGCTTATTCCAGCTGACTGTATGAATTCATACATAATGAAGAGTGAAAGATGCTGTTCAGTTGTGTGGAGCTGAGATGCTGTGGGTTTCAGTGCCAGTGACCTCTTTGACACAGGATAATTGTTGATAATATAAAAAATATTGATTATTATCACTTTAATTGTACCTTTTTAGCAAAACATCATACTGAGATTAAAAAAATAAAGTTGCCA